TAAAAGAATAAATACTTAGAGAGATCAATATAATTATACGAGCCCTAATAATAAAAGATTGACTGACAAATAAATACTCTATATTTTAAACAAGGTGTTGATATCAAAGATAGAGTTTTGTATGCAACATAGTATACTATTCTGGAAAATATGCAACACTTTAACTATGGCATATAAAAAGCTTCTTAAAAACAAAAGTAATATGTGCAGATCTATACCCAATAGTGTAATACACTATCCAAAAATCTATAACTTAAAAAGTATTTGGATGTTACAAAAGAAAAGTCAAATAATAAGACTATATAACAGACTAAATGATCCAGAACCAGCAGGACTTGCAACAATCATTAGAATCAAACAAGCACAAGTTAAATACTGGGAACCATACAATCTGCTTACCTGTGAGTCATTAGATTATATATCAGGTAGAGGTAACTTTGCATTTCAAGTAATGAAGTTGGCCAAAGATATAGGTATAAAGTTTCAAAACTGAAAATGACAAGACATTTTTGAATAGGACAAAGGTAACTATTCAATCAAAGAGTACCTAGCACCAGATAAATATACAAAAGTCATACTATCACTTAGAAACAATAAGCTAATATACATGGATTAGCTGATCACCCATGAAACTAAAGAATCAAAAAAATAGTAAATAATCTAACTAATCCAGAAGATCAGTAAGGGGCTCATTCTAGAGTGGTATCTAATGATAGAAAGGAATATACAAAAAAAAAGGATCAGGACAGTTCACAAAATTCTGAAAAGAAGATTGGTTAAAATAGGATTCAACAATTATAAAGATAAATTCAAATCATGATAAAAGATAAACACTCTAGATAATGATAAAAGATAAATACTCTAGATAATAACAAGTAATAGATACCAAAAAATAATATGGGGAAAGCTAAGATCAGAAGATATCAAGCAAATAGTACAAATAGAACACTTCAAGTGTACTGAGTTTCCATATATTTAGAAAACCAGCCTAACAAAATGTTTAGGATATGCAGAAGGTAAAAACATGAAAAATCAATGTATAATAGAAACAAAAAGAAATAGAACATATGAAGTCTCCTATCTAAATACAAGAAAATCTACGAGAAGAGTTCAATAGTTGAATATTCCAAGTTTTAAAATAGTTTTAAAAAGAACAATGGAAAAAACAATTCAAGATGATTACAAATCCAATTTAAACAGTAAAGTAAGTCAAATAGATATAAAGAATTGGAGAGAGTAGATTATTAGAGATAATATAAAAGAAGAAACATATTAAGACCACCTAATTAAAATACTTCAATAGAATTAACAGTCCAAAGAAACATTGATATTTTATTCTGATGGATCTCTTATTGATCATGGATATGAAAAAATGAAGATGGAAGTAGCATGGATGCAAGTAAAAAGAGAAGGTAAAAAAAATAAGTTCCAAATATAAGTAGGTGACTGGCCATTATCTACTAAAGTAGAGCTAGTAGCAATAGTTACAATATTACTAGTTGTTCCAACAAACGATAAGATCAAGATTTTTACAGATAGCCAAGTCTGTATTGTCAAGTGGAAAATAATAGAGAAAGAGAATCCCTGAAAAACTTATAAAAGATGGTTAAAGGAAAAGAACTGATTCTTGTGAGCAAGAATGTTGAATATTGTTAAAAAAAAAAAACTAGATCTAGAATTGATTAAGGTCAAAGTACACACTAATAACCCTTATAATAAAGAAGCAGATACTCTAGTAAAAGAAGCCTTAATATTCTCAGTAGTTGAATAGAAAACTTTTATTTAATTCAAAATTATTGTCAAAATTAAATGACATGAAATGACTTTAAATAATTCCATAAAACAGTTTATTAAAAATATGAATAACAAAGTTACAACTCATTAATGAATTAAATAAAATAGAATTTCAAACAAATAGAATCAACAGATTTGAGATCAATATAACTACACATGGGATTTGATATGGGAAAGAATGAAGAATGGATAATTTGGGATATTTTTTTTAAAGATTCTCAAGAAAGAAGCTCTCTTATCAAATTAATCAATGAAGAGTTACTAATGCTTCTCAAATTGATCATAAAAAGATCAGATTTATATAAAAAAGTAGAGTGTATAGTATGTAAACAACAAGCAGAAATAATAGAACACTTATTAAAATGTTTAGTATATGAAGTCCAATGGTAGGAAATTTGAAACAAAGAAGCTAAAGGTATTCTAAAAGACATTTGAAAACTTCTGCATGAAAGAAAAAAAGAGATGAAAGAGAAAGAAATAAGGTTTCTAGTTAAAGACAGAGTAGAATTAAGAGAATTGGACAAATATATAGTTAGACTTATAGAAGAGACTACAGAAACAGGCCAGAACATGTTAAATTTTTGTATGAGACTAATATGAAATAATTAGATATTGAAAATGTTAAACCTAAAATATTACCAGAAAAAAATAGATAAAGAAGTCTGAAAGTGAATAGTGAAGATGCAAAAGAAGATTTGTAATCAATTTCAAAAGAAGATCTGGAATGAAAAGTGCTCAAGAATAATCGAGTGGAAACAAGTATAAGGGATCTATAGAGAAGATAAAATAAGAAGATTAACCAGTCTGTTAAATCAGAACAATAAAATCACAACCATGAAAAGGTTTTTACAGGAAGAAGAAAAACTTAAAAATGAAGGTTTAAAACAAATCTTCCTAGAAGAAGTAAACTATGAAATAAGATGGTTAGGGTTTTAACTTCTATCAAAACTCATAAGAAGGATCTGCAGTAATGATCTGCAAGCAATGAAATTAGTAGTTGAAAGGGTTTTCACCTGAGCTACTAATGGAGCAATAAATCATTTCTGAAGTTGCATTTAGAGTGGTAATAAACAAGACAAGTGAGCTAATTAGAGATTTAGCTTTAGCAATTTATTTTATATATAGTATGCTAATGTTTAATAAAGCATATATAATTAATTTGACAGAAAGTATAAAAAAAAATAGATATATAGAAAAAAACAAAATCATTTTCTTGAAGAATTATCTCAAAGCACAACTCAAAATTCCTTTAGTATCTATATTGAGCATAATTAATAAGTTTTGTTGTAAAATGAAAAAAAACTTCAAGAAAAATATTTAGAACAAACATTATATTAAAGTAATAGAGTATAAAAAGAAGCAGAAAATTATTGAAAAGGATAAAAGATCTAAAAGACCTGGGTATAGATTCAATAACAAACTACACAAAAGCGAAAAAATATATTTTATTATCAAAAGAGAATTTTAAATCATTTTAGAAAAAGATATAGAACAAAAAATATAAATAAATATAATATAGAAAAAGAATCAAGAAGTTTAGAAATATAAAAATAAAAGAAAGATAATTAAAAAAGAATGTTTAAGTGAAAGTCTTATTGAAATACTAATGACAAGAATCATAAATAATATAAAATAATTAAATTTTAAACTTGATTAAAACTTTGATCAATAATTTGTAATAGTGAACTACAAATAATAAAATTTATAGTAGGAAGGTATTAACTCAAACTATAAATGGAATGACAAATTACTTTCAAAGTTATATTTAGAATTTAATAATAAATTAAGATAAGTAAGTTAGTTATTGATTCAACTTTATTAAACTATAATCAGTATAATCTATATTATGTTTAGTAAAACATATTATATATGACTAATCTAATAGAATATTAAAAAAAAAAAAAGATATATAATAATAATCCATAAAAATATTAATAGTTGAAAGAGTTTTTATCTGAAGTGATAAATCACTTTGGACATTACACCTAGAGATACTGTATTTAAACCAAAATAAATGAATTGGTTAGAGAATTAGCTTTAGTGATACATAAAGTTGTGTATAATATACAAATGGTTTAATAAAGCATATGTAATGGTTTTAATATAAAAAAAAATAGCTATATTAATTTGTTTAAACTTGAAATTCATATGCTGTATATACAGTATAATCCTAATTAAAAATTATTTTATACAAAAACGTGTACAGTACTGTATTTATTTAATAAGAAAAAAACGATAGAATAGAACAAAAGAATGCGTAACACTTCATTTTAGTGATGAATGCCTTTTATATGCATACTACTAACTTGATTAAAATGGTTTTTTTTTTTAGAAATATGCACAGTATTTTTAGAATCTCACAAACTCGAAATTGGAATATTTAATTTAACTATAAACTAAAATGAATATGTCCATATTTATGACTTTCGTATTATAATCAATAACATCGCAGTAGAAAATTGAATTTCTTAATCGAAAGCTCGATTGATGAGATAAAGCGAGTAAGCTTGATTAAATTATTCGAAAAGCAACAAGGCGAAATACCCGAACTTCAAGTCTAGGACCGGAAGTATAACAGATCGTAATATCCACATCTAATGCATATACGAGTAGAACGTGCAGTAACCTGTCATGTATGCTAATTGATTACTATTTTAGCTGTTCAACTCAAAAATAAAGTTTTATATTAATACCATTTATTCCGTTTTTGCAAAGTAAAAAACAATGCGCGTATGCAATCATAACAAAGCATTCTTTCATTTCTTTCGATTTATGAAGTAGCATGTTTTTTTCCAACAGGATCGCCATACGGATTTTGTCTTACCCAATATGGTCATTGACACGTTATTCGATATAATGCCCGCTTTAAATGTTCTCAGAGGTTACAAATTTTAGCAGAAATGAGAAACTTTGGATGTTCTTGGATAATTACCATAGTAGCGTTGTCTGCATTCAGTCAGTTCTTTGGGACCGGTGCCTTTGACTGCTCTAACATAGAAGTAGAAGGGATAAGATTTAATCTTACCGGACTTGATCAGTTAAGATCTTGATCACTCGGACCTGTTTTTCGACCGAAGTATTATTGACGTATTTTCTTAATTTCCTAACCTTAGGACGTTTAACTTTACGAAGACTGAAGACTCTCCTCCTACAAAGAAACACGTAACATACTTAATAAATCCATGTTCACCCTTACCTTACAATAGCTCTGATGAATATGCGTGTGAAAATGGGACCTTTATTTGTGAGATTATAACTTATGAGTCTGAAAAGCATGGCTCCCTGGTAGCTAGTGTCAAACCGGTCGCCGGGAACTTCTCGGAAAGACCGCTAGAACCTCAAACTGTCCTGGGGCTCGCCTCGAGAGCTGAGGATTTATATGGTGGTGAAATGATGTTCATTTCCATTACATTACCTTCATCTAAAATTGTAAGCTAAGACTAGATTTGATTTTAATAGGACCTCTCTCGATCTCACTGCACGGAGGAATTTACGTTGGTGAAAAACAGGAAGCAAATATTACATTCTTTTGCGATCATGTAATGACTCGTAGCATATCGATGGCTATTTGAAATGATCAGTTGGTAATCTTCGATTCTTATATACAGGAAGCAGAAGACATTGCAGTGAAGACGTACAAGGACAATATATTGTTTATAGAGTGGAAAACACAGTATGCTTGCGGGTACGAATTTCAGTTGGCCACACATAGACCATTCAGGAGTCGAGTTCATATGCGTCATTTTTCTATTTATGTCAATTACTTAGATATAAGATACCCGAAGAGCGTAAAAGTCTCGGCGGATTCGTGATATTCTTGATCATGTACGTATGATGATGCGCCTCTTTATTTAACCCTGATATTCGTGGATATTCGATAACACTTCTTTTTTGATGGTTAGTATTTTCGTTATTGCGGCATCATATCTAACGATAGGGGCGGGCTACAGGTACCACGTATACAGATCTCAAGGATGGGACTTACTTCCTCACAGGTTTGACAATTCTCCTTTTTTTTTTTTTTTTTGTCAACATTATTGTGCCTTTGAAATAGCATTACTGATAAATAACCATTTTGGATTGTAAAGGGATTTTTGGAGAGATGTTCCAAACATGGCTTCGGTGAGATTTTATTTATCATCACTCGTTAATTTTACAAAGGGCGTCAATTTTATAGACTTAACAATTCATTTTGATAATAGGATTTGACCAGGAACCTTTATAACGCTGTCAGAAATGGAGGACATTCAGGTTACGCCAGAGTTTAAAAAACATTAATACGCGTTCTGGATTTCATTCATATAATTTTTTTATTAAAAAAAAAAGAAAGAAAAGAAGCAAAATGACAATCGCATTAGTTTCATTTTTTTTTTTTGTTTATCATCAAAAATAATGAACGATGCTTGTTATATATCGAATAATTTCAATTACGTAATTACAAACAGAGTTGCAAACTTTAGGATATCACGCTAATATTAATTCGCGTCATACGTACCACTTTATTTTACATTAATAATTAATAATAAAAAATTATTTAAACAATATTTGTCTGTTATTTTACACTTCGGATTTATAGATCGATACAATCGCATAGCACACATGGAAAGTTGAATAGGATGGATGACGAAATTTAATATCCCAACTAGTCAAATGTTAAATTAATAGTTAATAAATCTAAGAAAAAATATTATTACCAGTAGACAGTAGGTTAACTTACTGTGAACCGATCCGGCAGGAATACTGGGCCGACGAGGGTCCAAAGGTAGAGGAACAGACAAACCCAACTGGAAACGACCTTAACCCATACTGCGATAAAGGTCTGCCCTATGGTGACCAATTCGTCGGTATCGCTTGTAACATTATTCCTTTAATTAAAAAGCAAAATGCATTAAGAATCGGTTAAAAAACAATAACAACAAAAAAAAAAAAAAAGAAAATTTTAAAAATTACGTACCAGTTGGTGAGAAGCATGGCAACATACATGGACGCGATGGCGAATATGAGATGGAAGAATGTGTAATTATAAGCAACACCATTTTTTTCATCATCATGATCGTCGTCATCATCGTCATCTAGTGCGGAATGTGGTAGTGCTCTGGAGAAATAATAATGAAACATGTGTCGAATTTGATGAGATTCTATTTTAGGTAAAAAATCTAAACGGTGTTAAATCGTACCCGCTTTCAACTGCAGCCAACAGCGCGTCAGAGCGCTTGTTAGAAGTGAGTCCGTTAAGCGAGTTAGTCGTTAAAGGTATCGCAGTTGCAGTGTTAACAGGATGATAATCCGATTTAGTTATTAATGCCTTGCCTTGGGTAGCAGCTCTCGATGTTGAGTACACAATCGCCAAGAATGTGAACACAGCTCCTAGGACAATTGTGGTCGTTCTTGTACCAGCGCTTCTCTTCCATGGATTACATCCATTTTCGTTGTCAGACGGTTCATTAGCCACTGCACTGAGAATAAGATAGGTGCAATAAATGATAACCATTGAAGCTTGGGATAATCCGGAACGAGAGTTTGCCTCCTGCACGGACGGGTGGATGCACACGAAAGTTCCGATTACGCATAGGATAAGGTTGAATGTTATAAAGAACTGATTAAGATGACATCCAGATCCAGCAAAAAATCCGTACATGATTCCAGTAAGCGCAATCGCCCCGACGAACATCGATATTGTGGATCCAACAAGGATATACTTCCATTTGTTATTGTCCGACTCCTCCCATTTTTCAATGCAAGTTTCACTCCAGGAATGAGCGAAATCAACCAAAAGCACCAAACCGACCAGAATAAACATGGTAGCACCAATCAAAGCGATATAATTTCCCCAAAACATGAAGAATTGATTCGGGATGAAAAAGGAAATGACAAGAAGAAATATCCACAATAGAATTTTCGGACCCCACCACCTGTGAATTGTTAAAATCATGGAGTCACGGTTAAACCAATGCGAAACGAAGATTGTAATAAACCGCGTTTCAACAGTCAAACCTTACCCATTCTGTATTTCCGCTCTCTTACTACGAGTATCATTTACTCCAATAACCAAAAGTCCCAATATGATGTGAAAGAATGAAAGAGCAAAGCATATACGATGAACCTAATTGAAAGTAAAATAATGAGATGTCTGACGTTGGGGGTCAAACGAAATGAATTGAACTCGAACCTACAGCCAGTACTCCGTAGCAAGTTCCCTCCTCGCAGTCCAATTTCAGGTATTCGTATGTTATCTTCTCCAGCTGTTTTATCGCCCAATCCGTCAACATTATCCATGCTAACTGTGTGATATAATTTGAAATTTGAGATTCGTGGTACTTGTGCTTAAGTTAAATAATAAAAAGACCACACTGACCATAGAATTCAAAAGGAATATGATCTGTAAGATATAAGGAAATATAGGTTAAATTCCGGAATGTTTATGGCCCAACATAATTTACGCATGGCGAAGACTTACCGCAAAACCGATTCTAGTCGCGATGGAATTATTGCAGTTACAAGATTTGAACCCCAGCGAGCATGCGGCCGCCGAGAAACAAGAAGCGAGGCACGAGGTTACCCACGAGGCCGCTCCCAGACCCAGGCAACTGAAACCAATACCCATCGTTTATTAAAAACTTTTTGTTTTTGCGTAGCGTGAGGAATTAATATGCAAGTAAACGGATTTTAATTCAAAAAGAGACTCCTTTTTTCTCTTACTTTTGTTCCTTAAAATGATTGTATTTCATTGGGTAGAACATATCACGCGCTCACGGATAGACTGCAGTGGCATCTATGATGTCATTCATCTCTTTTTACAATGATGACGACATATATTTATTAATATCTACACATGATATTGATATTCACATATTTATATGGAACCATAAAGGAAAATCTTATAATATATACAGCGAAGGGAAATTAGATGGTGAGAAAATGAGAGATGAGAAATAAATATATCCTTTTTTTTTTTAATCTTGAAAATATATATAAAAGAAAAAAAAGGAATACAAATCGAAGGTGTGAAGGAATTGCGTTAAGATTATTACAAATGTCCATTATTTCTTATGATTCCCTATTATCGATGATAAATCTATGATTAAGTAGAATACTCGTCTTAATTTGTTAATATACATAAATAATCGTAAAGAAAAAAAAAATAAGTTAACTCGGTTAATTGCAGATGAGTGAAATTCATCCCGGAAGAAAAATAAAAAGAAAAAAAGCAAAGCCTCACTTGATTCATTGAAATTCGAATAGAATGGGACATTGTAACGGACAATTATAAAGAAAAGGTGGTCATAGTCATACAGAAATAATGAGTTAGTTGGAATTAAAAGAATATGCGATCCGGCGCGAAAGTCAATACTTTTGGTTAAAATAAATTAGGACAGAGATTATTCAAAACGAAGATGCACGGAGTGTATGTCGAAGGGCCGGAAAATGTAAAAAAAAAAAAAAAGAAAAAAGAAAAAGTGCACAGTGTAGTACTTCATCGGCCTCGATTATTTTCATGATTAAAGTCCTCGACGTTTTTACGCATGTTCGCGACTTATTAATGGTTCTATGACTTTCATCTTCGGTGGTTCCCTTAATCTGTCATTTCCACCCTTAGAATACTCCATTTCGCTTAATACACGCAACCAAGCGGAACCACCTTCCGTTCGCAATTCCTCAATCTTTCGTCTGTAATCTTCTCCCGAAGCTTCAACTTCAGATTCGTTATGAGGCGAGGATGGTCTGATCCTCGGTGATGCTTCGGCCGAATTCTGTCGAAATTTCGTCGACCTCTTTTTCTTGATTCGCGCCGGATCATTCTCGGCGGCGACAGCCTTTTCAACCTCGACGAGGCGATGCTTCGAATGAGCGGCTTCCGCTTTCTGCGATGATTTATCTTTCTTCTTTTTCTTTTCAGACTTGGAACTAAGCGATTTCACCTCGGCAAGATCGGGACCGGTGTCGGCCCCACTGTCTTCTCCGTCCAAATTGACAACACGCTTGCGAAATTTAAGGCTCTTTTTGGTCCGCAGGATTGGCATGGGTTTGTCTTCCTCTGGGCTAGTGGAAAGCGGAGTTTCGCTGAATTGGATAGCCACCGGAGTGTTAAAGGAAGATGAGACAAGTCGATTATTTGTTAATTGACGGCGTTCGCTATACGAAGGACCGGAGCCGTCTAATATAATGTCGACATTATTATCGCGGTAAGTCTGGAAGATACAGACTCGGTAGTTCGGCTATCGAAAAGAAGAAAAAAAAAAAAAAAAAAAAAGAGAGAGAGAGAAATGAAGAAGAAAGAAGAAAACAATTTTATCAGGTTTTCCATTGATCAGATGATATCTGCGATGGAATACTCTCACAGAAAACCCATGAATATGAAGGAAATCAACAAACCTGGAACTTTGTGAATAGATTGCCCTCCACGTAAATATACTTTATTTCAGGCAACTCTGTCATTCGCTTGGCTTCTTCCCAATCGCTTAGTCGATTGTCTCGTACATCCACGTATTCCAAGGACCAAAGTCTTTCTAATCCGCACAAATTTTCAATACGATTGTTTCGCAAGTCCAGTCGAGTAATGTTGTTAAGTATTTGGTATATTCCGGTCACCGTTTCTATCATGTTGTTGCTTAGGTTCAAATACTGAAGATTGAACAATTGAGACAGCCCGGATGGAACAGCGATCAACAGATTATTCGACAGATCCAACCTCGCGCACTCGGTTAGATAAGAAAGCGGTTCATTGGCAACAAAGGTGAGCGAATTATCCGAAAGGTTTATTGTTTTTAAGTGACTCCAGATTTTAGGTGGCAAAATACTATCCGGCGAGTAATCCACTAAATTACTCCGGGAATCTACCAGTTGATCTACAACCTCGGTAACATGTTTATCATTCGAATCTGTTTTATCGTTTTTTTGCTTCCTCCTCTTTAAACCGTCGACCACTGCATCCACGAAGAGCTCATAAATGTCATCGATCGAACCTTGCTGTAACGACAAGTATTCCAATTTCTCTTGTAATATATCCCACCCGTCAATCATTTTCGGAGCTATCCCACTGACCTCCAAATGAGTCAATTGCTTAAAATAGGATAAAGATAGCAAGGAGCTCATGGGCCAATTGTCCGAACCATCAATTCTTTTTTGTATGTTGACCGCAAGCTTAAGACCTGAAAGCCGAGTGAATGCCCGATATATATATTGTACTTCTTGCTTTATTGGAATATTTTCGTTCTTTTGAGCGGCATTGGACCATCCCTGCCACCCTGAGAACAGTGATAACGAAGACATGGCCGATGACACCGAATTGATAGAATTCACGGACGCAACTGACATCGTTTCCGCGGGGTCGTTTGTGTCAATCGCATAGGTGCCTCCATCTTCTCCTTTAGGATCGGCAGCCACCTCAAAAAAGCCGACATCTAGACCTAATTCGCTGAACTGTGTTAGCAAAAAGTATAAGTGGTGAAGATCAAGAGTAACCAAAATATTCTTGGGAGAGCCCGCGGAACCTAGGGGTGAGGCTGGGGCGGTCGGCGAGGTCGAAATGGTCTGTTTCAGGTAAGAACTGGTCAACGCTGTGGAGAAGGACCAAAGGTTTGTCATAGAGAAGCTGCCACTACCACTATCGGACCTTTTGTGGCCAGTTAGGACCGATGAAGGCGGAGGAGAGCTATGCGTAAATATCCGCCGTTCGTTCGAACGAATGTATTGAGCCAAGGTGCGAATGTACTGTTCTTCTGTTACGTTCGTAGTCATTTGTGCAGTTTGATATAACTGATACAAAAAGGGGACCGATATAAAGGTTATCTTGTGAAAAATGCAGGCGCACCATTTGCATGAACCTGATTGGATGCATCGATTCGGTAAATCATCAAAACTAGGCAAATTAGTGTAAACGTTGTTTTGATTTTCGGTATCGTCATAAAGGATGCACCAGCTTTTAGGAAGCCAAACCAAAAAAATCAAAACCTACGGAAGGAATCAAAGGGAACGTGTAATTCCAGCTACCAATGCGTTAAAACCCGAGGTTGACACGGCTTCCATTAGGATGTCGGAAAGTTTCAATGTCGCTCTGAACCGCGTCGTTAAAACATCTAGACGACACGCCTCGCCTAATAAAACAACGTTACACCAGGAGAAAATCCTCGAGGGTGAGCAAAAACGACGTGAAAATGCGTCGGCCGACGACTCAGTGCTATCGAACCTCGCTTCACCCGCGAGAAGTTTGACTTCCAATGCAGCTAACAAGGCATCGTCTCCCACCGAGGTTACTCGTCGCCCGCTTACCCCCAAAAATCCAAATGAAATTCAAACTAAAAAAATCGAACGTGCCAAAAAGTCAAAAATCACGGTGAAGCCTAAATTGAATCGGTCATTAAGACTTTCAGCTCCGACGGTTTGTGAAAATGACAAAAGCTTTTCCAATCACCTTCACACCAACCAAGCTTTTATGGAACGCGAAGTGGAGTCGTTGTCTAAGGAGGTTAAAGTTTTACAACTCGCGAAATCACAAGAACACTTTGGTGTCAACAACAATACAAGCGTCTCCACGATGATAGCCACGGGACTGACTAAAGTTGCCAGCTTATTATTACGGAACAAGAGTCAAGAGGGTGAGGATGAATTGACCACGTTGTTAAAATTGTGCGACCAGAAAAAGATTTACTCTTTTGAAGAATACATTGGAGTCGAGTGAGTAGCGTTGCATTCGAGCGGCTTGACGCGAGCATCTCATACCGTTGAGTTTAACACTAAATAATAACGTACGTAGATGCATGAAGAACGCGGTGAAGATAGGCGAGGCAAGTTTTTCTGAAGTGTTCTCCGCGTACGCACCCCAATTTACCGCGAAAAAAGTAAAAAGTGTTTTCAAGATCATTCCTTTCGGGCGAGGCGGAGAGATTCTTATTAACGGAGAGGAGCAATGCAGCATAAGGAATATTTCCCAAGAAGTCAAGACCACTCTTGAATTGGGTGGACGAACTGGTCTTGATCCTAATTTAAGGGTCGGGTTCCTACAATTATACAGGTATGAAAGAAGAAGCGGAGACCTCTCGAGATGCGTTTTCCCTAAACCGACTGATCATAATAACTCAAAACACGACAACTTTAGTGTGGCCATATGTCGTGGAAGTTTTCCCGAATTGTTGCTAAAAGAATGGGATCGTTGGGATGCGGAATATAAATCGGAGAGCGGTCGACCAGGTACCATTTGAATTATATTTACGTGTCAAACTGCGAGTTAGCATAATGGTATTAACTGGTGCAACGTTCGTTCGTTTAGATTATTTTGATGAAAGACAAATGTACGTTGTCTTCGTCGAAGAGCATGGTGGTCAATCTCTGGAAACCGCCAAGTTGAAGAATTGGGCACAGGCGTGGAGTCTCCTCGCGCAAGTAGGCTGGAGCCTGGCACAGGCTGAACAGGTAAAAAATGCCGACATTTTTAACCTTCGCCTTGACATTCGGACTTGATTCCAATTTGTTCAATTCTTGCACTTCTAAATTGTCAGTCTCTTAAATTCGAGGTAAGCGGAAAACCTGTAGATCCTTATTTCCTTCTATTCCTTTCTCGGTCAAAATCTTTAAGGTCGATATCTATATCTAGCATCGCGATCTTCATTGGGGAAACGTCACAATAAGGCACACAAAGATGACAAGAATCTCATATGACATGACCTCGTTTAAAAAGACAGTTGAAGTACCGACATTTGGGATCAAGGCAACCATAATAGACTATACTTTGTCTCGGATGGAACGCGGTATGTAAAGAAATATTGTTGGAAGATGAACTTTCACAGTTCGATCCATTAAAGCCCCGAAATTATGTAGATCGAGAAATCATCTACGTGAACATTTCAGACGAGAGTTACTTTACAGGCCAAGGTAAGTCGAACATGTTGTTCTCGAATTTTTAGCAAGAAGGAATACGTTTCGTGTCGAAATTTGAAATTTCGCAGGTGATCACCAATATGATGTCTATCGAATGATGCGCGAAGAGACGAAGGGTGATTGGAAGTCATTTTGGCCAAAGACGAATGTATTTGTAAGTTGGTTGATCAACATGGCGTCTTTTTTTTTTTTTTTTTTTTTTTTTTTTTGTTAACAAGCAAATGCGCGTCGGCAGTGGATTCGTTATTTGGCGGACAAACTTTTGACATCCAAAATATTACCAAAACCAAGAAAAAGCAATGAACATTACTCGTATTATCATGCCATACTCGAATTCAAAGAACGGGCGGAAAAGTACGGCAGCGTGATGGAGGCGATGAATAAGGATGAGTCGTGGCGGATATGAGATGTGTGTTCGATCTCGGTAACTTATTTAAAGCGTCATTTATTAAAGCTAATCTTTGTTCTAAAGCAACAACAACGATGCTAGCACACCTTCCGATTAACAATTACTCTGTTGTGTTACAATTTCGATCGGCGTTACCCTTCCCAGAGAAAATGTTTTTTTTTTGTATGCACATGTAAATAAAAAATAAAATTCACATAATCGAATCGAGTTGTATGACGTGCGAGACCTTTTCATCACTTTTTTTGGATACATTCTTACCCCTATTATAATTCAAAACTGGCTGCGAGGTCGAAGAGTATTGAATGACAGATTAGGGAAGGTGCATGCGCATTCGCACTGGGATATGAAAAAAAACTTTTTAAGACGTCGCACCCCGAAGGGATTGACAATGCCTTAACACTACGTGTTGATTGAGGGTTGACACCCAATTCCGTCCTTATCAAGGGGATTGCCAACTATCTCTCCTTTCTTATCAACACAACATTACTATATCCGAATAGACTTAAATAGTGTCACTTCGCCTTTTAATTCTGAATTATGGGACAATCATGTGATGTGCACCGAAGGCTACTACAAAGGGCAAGCCTGTGTTTGAAATGATTTCAGAAACAGCTTATTCCTTACTCCCCTCGTCACGCTAAGAACTCCGAATGCAGCTACTTTCCATACTATTCCGTTCCTTAACCTTCACCGCTCTGGGAGCGACCCTATACTTATATTATTATACCGCTTTCTGTGGATGGAGATGGAAAGGTACGTTCAACTTCGTCTTGTGCACAGAGGCACCGCAACGAGTAACGGGGGCGAGTTTGAAACGTTTGTACAATAAAGTTGTTGACTTCTTCAAACGTAGATTCAGAGGCACGGATTCTCTTCTTAGCTGATCCGCAAATTGAAGGGGATGCGAAGATACAAAGACAAGGGAAAAGAGGTAAAAGTTTGTCATTGCGAACGGCTTCATAAATTGTAATTGGAAGGCGAAGTGACACTATTTAAGTCTATTCGGATATAGTAATGTGTGTTCGATCTCGGTAACTTATTTAAAGCGTCATTTATTAAAGCTAATCTT